AGAAGTGAATCATTTATTGCTTGCAAACCAATGATGGTAAGATGATGTCATGGGGTAGGACTGGATAAGTCTGACTTCTTCCTACTCCATTCAAGCATGTACTAGGTATAAGCAAATTGATATTGGATTATGTGTAAAATTATGTGTGTTGTCATATCAACTGTTTTACATGCTTGAAAGAATAAATCAAATCAAATCAAGTTGGAAATAGCCACACTTCACACACTACAATCTTGTAAAACACTATATCTTTTTGTTATGTCATGTATCTGTTGTCTTGTCTCCCATGTTCGGTATTGTTTTGTTAATGTGTTACTTTGTTTCAATAAAAAAAAAAAATTGCCAACGTTCCGTGTTCTAGGCTAGGACTGCAGCTCACTAGCAAACACCACCACTTTCCCACTTCCTGTTTCCCAACAGACACAACGGGGGGTTTGACCAGATTGATGACATAATGTATAGCATGTTAAACCCACATAAGGACTGTGAGACAGTATCTTCTTACTAAGCGGAAAAACAAGGAGGTGAACTGTAATGAGTTGATTATTAATCTCTCAGGTCTGTAACATGCCTGTAAGGCTTTCTCACCTGGATGGTGCTCCAGCCACTCTCATCTTCTGCCACATGTAGTTCAGGAACATAGAGGCCTGTAGCAAATGTCCAATCCTCTGCATGTGTTTCTCTGTGGGAGAGGGAAGAGGAATAAACAGTTCATCCAAGGGTTTCATTCAGTCATCACTTCAGGCAAAATTAGATTTAGGATCAGGCAGGTTTATGTCCTCACAGTAGTCACAGTAGTCATGTTTACATCCGTTTTGCTTATATACACTGATCAGCCATAACACTATGACCTCCCGCCTTATACTGTGTACACAGGAGTCAATGCTGCGGTTGGTTGGCACTCGTTCTACTGTCAGGAAGAGCACAGATGTGTCGAGCATTCAGTGAAAAACTTGTTTAAAAGGAGTAAAACTGTGGTCGTGGATTTTTTAGACACATTCAACAGTTTGGCTCTTGTCAAAGTTGCTCAGGTCCTTACGCTTTCCTGTTTTTACTGCTTTGAAACACACCAACTTCTAGGGCTGAATGTTCACTTGTTGCCTAATGTACCTCACACACTGACAGGGGTCAACTGTAACAAAATAATGAATGTTATTCACTTCACCTGTCAGTGGTCATAATGTTATGGCTGATCGGTGTAAACTCCTTGTGTTTATGTTGAGACCAACGCCAGAGAAGAGAGGAACGTTGTTCCTCTTCAACCAGTACCTCTTCTGTCTAGCGTCAAGACACCATACTAAATCATTATCATGTTTAGGGGAGAGGTGTTATTTTTAGTTCCATATGTTTCATAGTAATTTGGGTATATAATCTCAATTAGAGCTACATAAATCCACCTCAGTGTCTTTTCCCAACACAAACTATTTGTCCCAAACACACAGACCCCGCTGACCTGTATATGGGATGAGCCCCTCCAGGTGTGTTCGTGCACCCTGGTACTGCAGCAGCTCCTCGGGCGGCAGGTGTGTGAGGAGCACCTGGAGGACGGCCTGGGCATCCAGACAGTTTCTGGCGTTGGTGTTCCACACCACACAGTAGCGCAGGAGCGACTCTGAGTGGGAGCGAAGCCATAACAGGGTGGAGTGTGAGGCAGCAGCCGAGGTGAAGGTGGAAAAGAGGAAAAAATACACTGGGTTTATAAATAAACTTTAAGCTATAAATAGGTTTTTATTAACTTCACTGAAAGGCAGTTTTTCCTTGGCATGTTGATGTTTCTGTGATGTGGGAGGGTGCCGGCATAGTGTTTGAAAGTGAGGCACTCAGCAAGATTTTAAGACCTCACCTACTTCCCCGTTGAAGTATTTCTGTTTATCTCACATCCATGAAACTTTCTTTATTCAGAGATTGATTTAAAACTTATATTAAAAACTCTTAGAATACACTTTCAGAATATCTTGTTTCTCTGCTCCATCATTAAAGGTTGAAGGACATTATTACACGGTTACCTTTCTGATCCTGCCGAAGTTTCAGTATTGTCTTCTCCAACAGCTTGCGGCTGTCATCCCCCTCTTGGATCGCTAAGAGGACCAGAGAGCAGCGTATCAAAGACAGCCAACACTCAGCTGCTGACATTTGTTCAGGTTAAGTTTGTAATAGCGGCTGGGCTTATTGTCCTCACACACAATACACTTTATCTAATTCCTCCCTCTGGACGGTGCTACAGGTCGTTGTACGCCAAAACAAGCAGATAAGGACAGTTTCTTCCCCTGTGCATCACACTGATGAACACTTAACCCATGACTGTATAACAAAATGAGGTTTGATTCAGACACGCTAATGTTTTCAACTCACATGGGTTTGATTCAGAGACACGCTAATGTTTTCAACTCACATGATAGTGAGGAGCTTCATTAGAAAGCCACTGCAGTGCTGCATCAAAGTCAAAAGTACTTTACCACATGCAATAAAAAGAGATAAAGTGGAGAATCCTTTGACATAAAAGCATCATGTGAAAGTAGTAAATGTCTGAGAGCTCCAGAGTCACTGCAGCATGATCAGAAAGAGGACTGAGGCCCCATCAGAGCTGCAGTGGACCAGAAAGACAACTGAGTCTTTCTAATGTACTCACAGTCTGAAAGCAATAAGAACCAAGTCCTTTTTTGTTGGTCTCCTTTTTGGCCCAGAGAGGACTGAGTTCAGTTCATTTAAAGGGGACCAAGTGTGAACCCCACTTTGGGACTTTTTGACAGTGCCAAAGTTCATCTAAATTAGTTCAGGCGGTTCACAACATTAACGCTTATAGCAGCTTTATAAACAAGCTGTGGGCTTTCCAGGAAACCTTTGGTCTTGCATCACCTGTAATTGTGCTCTCAGACATTCCAGCTATTCAACAGACACATTATTCCTCTATGTCATGGAACAGGACCACAGTGAGTGACAAGTAGAGTTGGTATGGTCAAGGAGCACGACAATCAGGGTGAACTTTTGTGTTATGTTCACAGGCCCTTCTCTGTCGGACCCGGTAGCATCAGTGCTCTGCTCTGAAAGTGAGCAGCCGTCTGCGGTGAGAGATGAGAGACTGACAAGACGACAACTTGTCAAGGTAACCACAGGTGAAAAGATACAGGAGGGGCTCGTGTTTTGTAAAGGACAAAATCTGCAGAACTGAGAACCAATGTGGAATGAAAATGCGGCATATGTTAAAGACAGTGGGAAAATGCTGTAGTATAAATTACCTTTGATAACAGTGAGTACAGTGTGAGGCTGGTCCAGTGAGATGGCGAGGCCGAGAGCCTTCAGATACTTCTTCTCGTGGAGCAGGTTGGACAACTCTTGCTGTCTTCGGGCACAAACACATAGACACAGGTTCAGACACAGATTCTTATCAGAATACCAAAGCACATTCTCCTGCACACACACAGGGGCCCTGACCTTTGACCCGGTGAGTTCTAACACACACAGTTTATCGAGCAGCAGGCCGCATGTTGCAGCAGGAGAAAAAGTAGACCCCAGTTTGGTCTGGAGTTTTAGTATATCTGAAGTGCTAAAGTCGGCAGCTTGGCAGATCTTTTACCTTCTTCAGTTCTGAGTCCCAGATATTTAACCTCTGGAGTTGTCAAGGCCTCGAGGGCCACTCGGCCATCCTGTGATTCATTATGGTACATGAATCAAGGTGTGGATGGGTGATGTCAGGGCTGCATCGTATGCAGCCGTCAAGCGATGCTGTAGACCAACTCCTCTGTTAAGTGATGGCCATTCCAGTCTGACAAAGATGGCTTCTTTAGCTCCTCTTTCTAAACATCCGTCTTCTCTTGCTAAGGAGTGTTCCTTGTCCTTCAGATACTCTCCTGTGTTGTGCGTTTGTGGAGCAGTTGTTTGTTAATGGCTCCACAGAGGTTAAATTCCCCAGAGTTTCCCCACCAGTCAGTTAGGACTGAAGAAGACGCTCAGATGAGTAAAACATCTTCAGAAGCTTCAAACAAGTCCAGCTGCCAACGTTAGCACTTCAGCTACACTGTCATCGGGATGACTGAGAATCTCCACAAATATCTGGAATCGAGTAATTCCTCCAGGACCTCGGACCTCCAGCAAAAAATGACGTCTACATTTTCCCACCACTTCAAAGGAGGATGTTTTTTTTTTCAAAGCTAAACGACAGTAATGTGTGCAACTTACTTGAGTATCAGATCCTCCTGTTTGGCCTGCTGCTCTGCCATCTCCACTTCAGTGACATCCTAGTGGTGCACAGAAAAAAAAACAGTGTTTTCTGATAGTCTGCACTGGAGATTCTTTTTCCCCGATGAATGGAGAGTGGTCAGTCAGTCGATACAAATACAACACATTATATTAACTAAACAGAACTTCAGTAAGCTAGTCTTGTTGTCATAGATGGACACCACGTCCCTTGTAATTATTTCTCAGAATGGGATTCAAATGCAGCCAAATAACCTGCTGCATCCTTTTAGTTAGAAGTTTGATAATTAATCAGCTCATCTTACACGTCTCTCTTCACGTCCTCTATTCTACAGGTGAGTTTCAGTGCAACCCCACTTACCACCCACACTGTGATGTTGGAATCTGCCGACCCAGTCACCATCTTGTCATCTTTGCGGCTGGCGTGGAGCCCCCACACTTTGTCCTGGTGGGCGTCCAGTGTCTTCACACACTCATTGGTCTTTATGGTCCAAAGCTTCACCAAACCATCTGAGCCGCTGAGGACAGAACATGATTAAGAGGGTTGAATTATACAACTGTTTGACTTTTCTTTAACAGAAAGACAGAATTTAGTGGATCTACAGGGATGCAGATACAACTGAAAACACAAGCTGGGTCCCAAATTCCTGTGAATTCTAAGGGGTGTGTGTGTGTAGTAGGTTCTCAGTGGTAACGCTTTACATTTGGAGGGGTAATGATTGTTGTTTAGTGCAGAAACTCAATAAAAAGAGCTATGAAAAAAAGAAAGGGGAGTTCTGCATGAGAGGTAGGCGGGGTTACCTGGTGAGCAGCTGAGTGCCCCGGCTCACAAAGATGGCCTTTAAAACTGATGCGTCGTGCCCCTCAAAAGTCTACAGAAATCAAGGTTAAAACAATCACATCATTTCCCTCTCAAAACCAAAAACATCTCTGTGGTGAAATAAACAGGAAGAGACAGGAGGTAAATAACCTTAAGTAGGAACACATCAGTCTTATTTCAGCTGAATGTCTCATCTTAGAAACCATATTATGTCCAATTAGTTCATCAATATGGAATAAAGTTTCTCAAAAAGAGGACAATGACAAGTGTTCTATTTCCTTATTATAATATACAAGTAACATACAATCAGCCATCAGTTCCTGTGTGACACATTCACAGGCAGCCCCGTGGCTCACCTTGAGGCAGCTGAAGTCTTGCAGGCTCCACAGCTTTGTGGTGCCGTCTGCAGAGGAGGTGGCCAGCACCTGGTCAACAGGAGAGAAGCAGACCGTCCAGACGCCACGACGGTGGCCCCGAAACACACCCAGCAGGGCCACGTTCCTCTCCCCTACCAGTGACCACAGCTTGGCCGTGCGGTCCTGGGAGCCCGAGGCCAGCAGCTTGTCATTGGGTGACACTGCAACACTGTTTACATCCTGGAGAAATGACGAGACAAAGAGAGAGAGAGAGAGAGAGGGGAGGAAGTGAGGAATAACTATTCCTAAAGTAGATGAGATTTCTGTAAATCCAGAAGGAAAACAAATGACTCTACTGTGAAATTAAACAGAAAAAGGTACAAAGATGTAAATCGCCTTTACAGATTCTCAAGTGAGACAGACTCTCTGAATTCCTCTCATTACACTGCCTTCACTGTCACCTTACACCATATTCCTAAGGTCAAACATGAAGATACAAGAAAACTTGATGGACGTCCTGTCAGTTGTTATATCTTAAATCAGGAGTGTGTAGGCATGTTGAAAATGTACATATCTTGCTAATAGTAAAAAGTTCCAGTAAAGCAAGCGGCCAGAGATTTCCTGTACTTCCTTAAGAGAAGAAAAGGGCCCTTTCATAAAGCGGTTTACAAAGAATTGGATGGAGACTGACTCACCTGTGTGTGGGTGTATCTAAAAGATTCCTCTCTTTTATGGTCTTATACATCCACAGTTTGTGCAACCCCTGGAATTTTGTGCAGATGCTTTTGCTTTTCTTTTCAACACCATTCCAACTACCAATACACCAAACACTCCATCACAATTAAGTCCTGTGATAAAAATGTTACATTTGTAAAAGTATGTGAACAGAAAGAAAGAAAGTCGCTTTTGGCTATTCCTGTATTAGAGGTCACCACATGTTGACATTTGGCGCGTGTTTTACGCCGGATGCCCTTCCTGACGCAACCCTGACTTGAACCAGGGCCACAGCGGCGAAAGCGCTGCGCCTTAACCACTAGGCTACCAGAGACAAAAGTAAAAGTATGGAAACATTATCAGCAAAATGTTCATTAAAAGATAAGGTCGGTCATTTTCTATATTAACAGCATTCTCACCGATCCCCATACAGAGACTAAAACCAACACTGAATTGCCTCTGCTCACGGTTAATGTCTGTCAGTCTCCAACCTGGATTCGCTTATTCGTCTGTGTACATGCACAAGATCTCTGTGCAAGCTTTCTGCTATAGGTTAATCCCAATGCCCCTAATTGCTTCCACATCTCCTTCACTTGTGTCTTTTCCTTGCGTCTTAGTCTCACCTACGTAAGATATAAGGAAAAGATGCAAGGAGAAACTGCTAGGAGAGAGGAACCGAGGAAACATGAGACATCCTTTCCTCTGATCCTTCATGTGAAGTGTCCATTCACAAATTACAATTACAGATAAAAGTGTGTCTGTCCATAACAAAGTTCTGTAAGGGATGAGCTCTTGTATCCTTGGTTATAGCTCCTCCAGACAGCCTCCTTGCTCCTCAGAGCAGAAATAAGGGCTTTGGGACATCGTCCATCATGGCGGACTGGAACGAAATCTGGGTCGAGTGAGGACCGAGGAAGGATAAAACAAGGGAAATGGGATTCACCTTTTCTTTACAGTCCACCAGCTGATTGACTCTCGTTACTTCAGGCGTTTGGAGCTTTTGGACATTTTAAACAAATATGCAGGTCTGGCGTTTCACAATGAAGAAACATGTCACCCAGGGCAGTGGTGTGTTTCCCTGATGTGTTTTTAATTGTTTTTGAACAACAGCGTAGGTCTATGACACAGAAAAACAAGCGAATCCCGGTTGGAGATATTGGACAGATGTTAACCAGGAGTAGAGGCAGTTCATTGTTGTTTTAGTCTCTGTATGGGGATTGTTGAAAATACTATTAATAAAGAAAATGACCAGCCTAATCCTTTAAGTACCAAAACCAAACATCTAATAATCTGCTAGTTATTTTCTCAGTAATCAACTGCTAACTGTTTAGTTTGCAAGACATTCGATAATAGTGAAAACAGCCCAAAAACTCTGCATTGACCTGATTCCCGCAAGTGACCTTGTTTATTTAAACAACTTTCCTTCACAATTTCAGAAAGGAAGAGAAGTGAGCTGACAGTAAGTCTACGCCTTTTATTTCAACTGGAGAGAGGAAAAAGTAATACTAGAAAAAACACGGTGGTGTAATGTGATCATTCCCGTTCTTCACATTAAAGAAAGAAGTAGAAATCCAGGAAACAGGAAACTCGGACTAGCAAAACTTCTAGATGTCTTGTACTCTAAGCAAATAAGGCAATCTGTGCATAGTTAGCATCATTTGGTGATGAGTGGAGCTGAATGAAAGAACAGACCATTGTCACAGACTTGGCTGGACAATCTGTTATGTCCCCTCTGAATTTCTGCACTTACTCAATACACCTGCAATACCTGCATGAACAAACAGTGATTTGACAGTAGGAAAACAAATGGTAACCAACGTTGACTGTCAACAAAAAGTCAACAAAAGCTGTTTTTCTTGTTCACACCAAAACATATCACACCTTTGCCTCCGTTTGATGACAGATTTCCAAAGAGGTAACAAAAAAAGGGTTAAACAATGGTTGTGTTTCCTGCTCAGTAATTACAAAAGGGACTTCTGAATGTCCACACAAAAGCCTTTCAAATATTAATCTGACAAGGAAATGCCTTCTTATTCACAAGCAATGTTTGTGTAATGAGGTGAAGCCAAGCAAGAGATGTGGAGACACCCTGAACTTCTGGTGTTGCACTTCCTCCTCAAGAACTGGTTTGAGGTTTGTTTTCAGCTGAAAGAAAACACAGCTCTTTCTCTGATATGATCATGTAAAACTTAAAGGATGTTTGAGGAATATATTCTGCAGCCTCAGTGTTCCCAGTCCAACTCTGGACACGAAACATTTTCACTTTCTATTTGATAAAAGCTAAACATATCTGTTTAGGTATACACCTGTACACTGTATATCACTTTCTTTGGGATGTTATCAGCTACAAATTGCTGTTTTTTGTTCCTTTCTTGGACTGTGTATGGGTTTTTTAAGTCAAGTACCTTATCGTGGACCTTCTCTGTGGTGCGGGCGGTGAGCTGATATACGTCTGTCGCTGTTGTAGACAAGTCTGCTGGTAGATCCCACACCTTAACAGTACAGTCCTGACTGCCAGACACTATGAAAGATGCTTTCATCCTGGACACAAACACAGATGACCACTGCAGTCACACAGACTGACAAAGATTCACAGAGTTCCCATCTTTTCTGAACTAGGAGTGGAGCGTTACCTGGAGCAGGAGATGGAGCCCACAGCATTAGTGTGGCTGGAGCCATGGGCCACACATCGCACCTGACCACTGTCACTGTCCATGTGCCACACACGCACTGACCTGTCCTGAAGACAAACACATTAGGCAAATGTCACCCTTGTCATAAACGTGCTAAACATGGCCCTATCCTGAAGACAAACACACATTAGGCAAATGTCACCGTTGTCATAAACGTGCTAAACATGGCCCTACATATTCAATGGCTTCTTCTGATCGTGTGGATTTGATGACATTAGTGGGTTTGCATTGACACTAGAATCCATGCATGAACCAAAGACAGAACTGTTTCTTTCTAGTTCCTTCCTTGTCTGCAGCTGTGCGCTCACCTTTGCACAGCTTGCAAAGAGAGAGCCTTTTCTGAACACGTCCAATGAGAGGACAGTATCTGTGGAAAATAAACAAAAACAAGAATCACAACAGGCATCTATCCTACCTGCTCATAATGTCACACAAACGTTTGTCTCAAGTCTGAATTCTTTCCATTCGGGCTCCTCTAATGACAGCTTTCATTTTCTCTAACCCTGCTACTGTTTATGGAAACTGTCTTTATGGTTTACCTTGTGCTTTTGGCAGCTGTGTTATTAAAAATCTATACATTATACAACAGAAGTGCGTAGACCCCTGTGCAGTATCACTTAAATGTCAAATGATTCACAATTACATCACCTCTCAATCAAGTTGATGAGCATTTCCTCTTAAGAACAATCAAAAGCAAATACTTTAGAAAGGTTATACAGAACATACAGGTCCCAAAGTAGGAACGCAATGTAACAAAAGTGAATACACCTCTAATCTGGCACACAAGTTGTAAAGCCTGTGATCATGAAACAAAATGTAGTACACCTGTTTCCAACTACCCTAATTGCATTAACATGATTATATAATGACCTGTGACGATCAGAAGATCCTAAATGGGATGTGTGTATCTACATGTCTGCATTGTGGCTTCACATGGAAAAGAAATGGCAGAAGAACAGAAAATTCCAATTGTGAGATTTCACAAAGATTAAAAAGGACAAGTATTTCAGTGACCAACTGCAAATCAGGAGGTGTAGAATGAGCCATAGTACCATTAATCAGAGCTGCAGTGGCCCTTCTGCTAAAATAACAATACTTGCACAATCTAGATCTGAACAACAGATAGACAGGTGCTTCAGAATTGGTACAGGGGTTATCAATGGAAATCTGAGTTTCTGTGACAAAACAGACAGTGACAGGACATTCCAAAATGTCAACATCTATGGACGGTGTCAACAGAACACCTTTGGCATATTTTAAAGAAAAAGGCAGGTCTCTCCAGAAATTCAAGTCAAGTCAAGTGTTTATTGTCATATGCACAGTGAGGAAACATGTTCCCCTGTAAAATGAAATTCTTACTTTGCCGTCCACACTAAAGCCACACAATGAAACATAACGCAGGTACATAGGTAACAAAAACTAAATCTCAAAAATCTAAGGCACTGTAAACCAGCAGATGAAAGAAGCATAATGAAAAATACAACAAGAACACAATACAGTGAAGAGCGGATGTATGCTACATGGAGGCTGTGTATGCAAATATTCAGCAGTGAATGTGCAATTATGCATGTGCGAACTGAGTGTGTAAACAATACGGGTGGAATTATATGAGGTAGTTCCTGAGTCAGCTGTTAAGACGTCTGATAGCAGTCAGAAAGAAAGAGTTTTTCAGTCTAGAGGTCCTGCATTTCACACTTCTGAACCTCCGGCTGGAGTGTAGGGGTGTGAAATTTGTGAAATACTGGTATCCTGTAATATTAGATATATGATAGTAGAAATATTTAAATTTCCAATCATCCATGTTTTCCAGTCAAGTAAAAGATTACTGCAGCTTTTAGAAATTATAATTAATGTTGCAAAAATAAACTGAAATTTGCCACTGACAATCTGGACTTGAAATATGTATAATTTAGAGAAAACTATTCATGAAAAATATTGATCATGTGTCATTTTTGCTACATACATCCATGGGTATATGGCAATACCATATAACATTTCTGCCCTCTTGTGAATGAAGTAACATACCACTAGGTGTTTTAACATGTAGATACATACACATCGGCACACCGCCCTCTGCTGGTGACTGACCTGTGTGTCCGTAGAGGATCTGGCAGCTGTTGGTGAGCAGCTCAAACACCTTCAGCTGGCTGCTGTTGGTGGCCACCACGATGTGGCTGTCACCTTCACCCAGAAACTTCACATCCAGCACCTCGTCATTGTAACCCACAAACTGTGAGAGAACACAATAGAGATAGAGAATGCCCATTAATGCTACAGAAAGGACAATAGAGCTAGAGTTTGGTGTCTGGGGAGGTGTTAGGATATGATGATGATGATGATGATGACACTTTATTACAGACTCAAGGTCCAGGTTCAAAACAAATAAAAGAACAGTTTAAAAACGAAACAATAAAAACAGAAAATACATAAAAACGAGAGCACAAGAACACCCATAAAACTACTGCCCCTTTAAAAGACAGGTATACCAGTGTTTCCAGAGGATAAACATAAGTGGCAGACAAATGGATGATGACTGTTACTGTCATCTGATATCCATCCATTCTCTATACTGCTTACTCCTGAATAGGGCCTGGAGGGCTGGAGCCAATCCCAGATGACACTGGACAAGAGACAGGGTCCACCCTGGACAGGTCACCAGTCTATCACAGGGCTGACACTTAGAGACAAACGACACACACCCACTCCTATGGGCAATTTAGACTCTCCAATCAAGCTAAGCTGCATGTCTTTGGATTGTGGGAGGAAGCCAGAGTACCTCCAGGGAACCCACGCAGGCACAGGGAGAACATGCAAACTCTGCACAGAAAGGCACCGGGTCAGCCAGGGCCGAATCCAGAACCTTCTTGCTGTCAGGTGACAGTGCGAACTACCGTGCCACTGTGCCCCCCCTGTCTGTAATCTGATATTTAATTTCCAAATAATAAATATCAGACTTTGATCCAAGTGTGATCCCAGTACCTACCTGCTGCTGTGTGGTGAGGCCAGGCAGCTGGTAGAGCAATATATTGTGTTCTGCAGTGACTGTGGCCAGTCTGGAGGAGGTGGGCAGGTGAAACAGATACGTTAGACTGCGGGGGTCATCGTCCTTCTCTTCCTCCTCCCCAGAGACAGGGGTGAGGGTGGAGGGGAGAGTCTGGGTGTAGACACAGCGTGCTGTGGTGGTCTCCCATACTCTCAGTACACCTACAAGGAGGAAGGGAGAAGGAGAGAGCTCAGGAAAAGCTTAGTGAAGCTGTTAGTGAAGGAACTATCTAATCTCATAGTGGGGACAGTGTGAGAGGAGAACCTTTACTGCCAGCTGTGATAAAATGCAAGTCTTTGCTCTTCACTCCAATCTGAGAGAAGTCCTTATTGTCAGGCAGCAGCACAACACCTTCCACAGCCTGGAGACAAAGAAAGCACACAGATATAAAGCTGCAGCATTTTTCCCATATAGGTGATTTTTGTTTTTGTTTTTTATGATTCAAATACAGCATCACAGTCTCACCTCATAAACGGGTACCGTTCTCTTGACTTTCCGAGTCTTCAGATCCCACACTGTACAGATCTTATCTCTGCCAGAACTACAAATAAAGACCAGCGCACAGTTACATTCAAGAAGGGCACAGCTTTAAAGCACACAGCATTAGAAACTTGAAGAATCTTAACTATTGTAAATAACAAGCCATCTATTGAGCAGCTGGATCTACTGTACCTGACCATGGTGCCACCATCAGAGCTGAAGCTGAGGGAGGTGACAGCGCTGTAGTGGCTCTGCAGCACACACACACACTGACTGGAGCGCAGGTCCCACAGGCGAATGCCACAGTCCAGAGAGGAGGAGAAGAGCTGCAGCCGGCTGATGTCTGGGTGGAACTGAACTAGGCTGCAAAGACACAATACAGACAGTTAGAATTGTTATTTTTGGTCAATAAATGTTGATAAAAAATTTTTGTAACTTCCATTTAAACCTGAAATCAGTAATGCTCCAACTTTTCACATTTCTGTGTTATAATACTTCACCATAAGCAAGTTCTGAACTAAGCACAAAGCTCAGTGCTGTTCTTGTTCCTAGATATCTGGACTTACTGTACAACGCCAGATGACCCTTTCAGGTTGTGAGTGCAGTACTGCTTCACCACATCCCAAAGCTTAATGGTGCCATCACATCCACCTGCAGGGCACCAAGAGAACAAACTCTAAACTGTACATTGTATGTGTAGTACAGACCCCACACAAACATGTGAAACAGCAGAAATGACTGATTATTATTTATCCTGTGTTAGCTGACCTGTGGCTAGGAGCGTAGAGGTGGAGTCAAAGGTCATACTGGCTACAGGAACAGTGTGAATGGCCTTCCACGAGCGAGTACACTGAGCTTGCCTCCAGTCCCACTGCTTCAGCAGCAGAGCCCTGCTGGCTGTTACCAGCAGCTGTGGAGGGACACAGAGCAGTGACATAATAAACACAAACCCCATATTCTGTGTGCTGATTATAGAAACTACTGGAAACATACTGGTGAGCTGTCATCTAAGGTTACACACCCCAAGTTATAGTGAAGTAATCTCAAGTGCATGATTACCTCATCATCACAGCTGAGTGCAAATGATGTGATGTCCTCCTGATCATCCTGCAAGCAAAAATATAGACACATATACTATCATTGGTCAGGATACATTTCTGCTTCATTTATTTGTTTTAGTTGACCTTATGAGGAAAAAAACAGTCCCATGACTGTTAAGAACCTTAATATTGTGGCAAAAAAGAAGTTATAACAATGAGATACAAGATACAAGTCAAAAACAATAATGAAAATAACTCTGTAGCAGAGTCAAATTCCTGTATGTTCAAACATAAATCTTAGATAAGACATCATCTGGCCTTTTATTATCTGTGTTTTTAAGGTGTAACCATATACTGAGCAAAAGGCAGCAACAGCAGGTCTATGCCAGTGGTCTTTCAGATACTAAGGCTGTTGTAAATATTATATTATTGTATAGCACTGATCTACAAAGGTAACCACCCACTCTGGACTCACATGCTCAATACTGTGGACGATCTTTCCTGTGCTGATCTCCAAAACATTGACACGAGATCCACAAGTGCAAAAGATGTACTTCTCATCTTTGCTGATCTGTATAAGGTGAACAGAGGGAGAGGTTAAACGGACAGTCGGACAACTTCAGTGTTCAAGTCAGTTTAGTCAGGCTCTGAAAATATTTGTGCAATATCCCCAGTACTATGGGCCGGACAAAAATCTGGATATCTGCATGACCTTTTAACCATTTTGTTTTAATACACCAATCGCAAGTCTCCAAGCTTTATGGCAGTATAATATTAATTCACTGAACGTTACTCTGGTAAGATCATTTCAGGCTGCTGCACGCGGTAACGCACACTGATTTTAGCAACACATTGCCACCCAAAACACAAGGCAGACAACTCACCTGCACTTTTCCTCCTTTGTAAAACGGTTCAATCTTGCTGGAAACATCATAACTGTAAGAGAAACCAGAAATGGGAATGTAAGCTGTAGCATATTTAAGTGATACAATAGCTTAACTTGTCTTAGCCAGCTAGCAAAGTTAACTGCCTGAACGTGTCATGTAACAATAAAACTTACTTAGTTTTAAAATGAAGGTTGGTATTTGCCATATTGCATACGAGAAATGCCGAATCTAAATATGTTTTGCAGCTACAGCAAATAAAATTGCTTATTTATCACTACACACGTTGGCTTCAGTCAAAACATTCATCCCGCATGTTGCTAACCAAGTCGCACACATTAGACGTCATCTGAAGACAGCGGTGATTGGCCAGAAGATTTTGCACCTCACACAGTAAAAAACTTGTCAAAACATAATTAGGTAGAAATAATACAATAAAACATATAAACCGGTAGTTTGATGGAATGTAAAACTTTACAAGGAGTAAATGATTTGGGTTCATTTGTGCTTCATATATATTTTTTACATTCTGCTCACAACAATCCACTGAGCTGTTTGACATGTCGGGGCTGAACTAGAACGGCAGGGAAAAGAGGCGCTCTTTGATTTTCTGTTCTCATTTGTTTGCACACACAGAAACACGCAGTCGCACCTTCGTGTTTTGCCAGGACTGTTCATGTGTTTTGCATAAAGTGAGTGTGTGGTCGTTGTGTGTCAAGTGAGAGGATCGATATGGAGTAGAGCAGCCTCGGGAACGGAAATTTGGTGAGGACAGAAGATTATGATGGTGAGCTGACTACAGCTTCGGTTTATTTATGTTTAATTTTTCACATTATTGACAGAAGGTCGTGAACAGTTTTAAAACTATCACACATACATAGGCATTAGTATGGAGACAACTACTATCATGATAATTTTGGAGAACTCTGAAATTTGCTTTCCCTTTGAAATAGAGTCTTGTATGAATATCGTGTTTTTAATAAACATTTAAACCCATTAAAGGTTTAATTAAAGAAATAATGCCAAACATCACATTTTTATAAGAGTGTTAGAATTATGTCTTTGTTTGTTTGTTTGTTTTAAGAGAATATAGTTTTGGTAGAGGCTGCATCTGCTTTTTGTAATCACCTGATCTGTTATATGACCTTCCAGAACAAACCTTTTTTGTTGTTGCTTTGTCTTTATGATGAAAACACTGTGGATGTGTTGTGGCATCTGCAGAGAAAGTACTCACCTGTTGATCCATAAAGGGTCAGAGTTGGCCCATTTTCTCGGGTGGTAGGAGGAAGGTTATTATTATCATTGTCTATAATAGCTCCACACAATTGTATAATAATTCACAATGATAACCCAGAATAAAGTTGTGTTTGCACTGGCCACATGTAGGCGGATCCAGAGGTATCAACACAGAGCGGAGGCTATGATGTGGATCTGTTTGTGGACACTCCTGACTATGATCTGATCTGCACCATATGCCAAGGAGTCCTCAGGTGTCCAGTAAGAGCTGCATGCCACCACATCTTCTGCAAGAAATGCATCTTACAGTGGCTGAAGAGGTAGTAAACATAACATCAATACTACTGGACAAGAACACTATAACATCATACTGTACTGGACTGTCTGTGATGAAGACCAAGACTAACTCCTAAATTTGTCCTCTAGGCAGGAGACCTGCCCCTGCTGCAGAAAGCCTGTTAACCCCAGCTTGATCTTTGTCATGCACAAGCTGCGCAAATCTATTGGATGCATGAAGATCAAGGTGAGAAACTGAAGATATACAGTACATAAATGAATTTGTACATAAATGTCACATAAAAGTCACCAGAGATGAAAGTTCAGAGGCTAAAGGTTTTTCTGTCATTGTGCAGGCATATGTGAACTGTGTTTTTTAACTACTTGGTATTCCTCTGTTTTTGGCCTACAGTGTAAGAATGAAATCCGTGGTTGTAGAGAAACTTTTGCCCTCTCTGAGCAGTACTACCACAGTGTGAGCTGTCTGTATGAGCTCATCTCTTGTCCATACCAGGGCTGCCGAGCCCAACTCCTCCGACGGGCCTTAGACACACATGTACGCTACTGTGAACACTGGTGCCAGCCCTGCCACATGGGCTGTGGGACGATACTCTCTCACCGCACCCAGGCTCAACACAACTGCTACAAGAAGCTGAGGCAGGAGTATGAAACTAGACAGAGGAACCACAGGGCCATCGCCACCGCCCTGCAGAGGAAGATGAGGAGGATGCAGAGCACCATGGCCCACATGAAGAGGCAGATAGAACTGATCTGTGAGAGCTTGGAGGTGATGGATGATCTGTGTGAGGTGGAGGAGGAGGACCACAGAGAGAGCAGTGGCAGCAGTGGGGCTCCATGTAGCAACAACAGCAACTGCTGAGTCATTTACTGCTGCTGGTTGGTTAGTGCTGTGTATAATTTTAACATGTGTTAATTTCTTTGGAAGCATGATTATGGATATGTAGGTAGGTTTATGATTAAAATGAGTGAATTTAAAGGAATTTTGCATTGCATCTGTTTTGTAAAATAAAGAATTTAACATTACACTGTTATCAGACCTGCTCTTGATTTTTATTCATTGGAAGAATTTTGAAGAAGGACTGGAAATCTGTTTTTAAGACTGAACTGTCTTAGTTTACAGTATATCAAGCTCATTTGATGTAAAGTTATATTTTATCAAATCATTCCATTGCTTCTGTTTGTCTGCTATTTGACACACCAGAGAGAAAGTTGTATTATTCTGTCACAGCGGTACTGTAAAGCTGCAACCAACAAATATTTTTCAATGCCAATAAATGATCATTTTCTTTAATAATTGATTGTTATATACAATGTAATAGTTAAAATGCACATAATTTTTCCTTGAAATTCACATTTCACATTCATATTTCTTGCTTTGTCCAACCAAAAAAGGTTAATCCGGCCATGGTGAGAATAAATATTACTATGTTCATCTAGAAGGAATAAAATAAAACTGACACCAACTTTCACCTTCCAGCCGTTTAAAAAATACGGGTCATGTTTCAAAAAGATGCCAATAGGGGGCAGTAGTTGTTGTAATTTTCTCTATTATCGCGATAACACGTCTAACAAAATTCGGCGGAACCTCTCCAGGGTCTTCTTCCTGTTTCATAGATCACGTAGGTTGTGTGTACAATTGTTCATTCCGATCATAATCCTTCATTATCTCATGCATCTATCTGCTAAACATATTGATTTTACCTCTAAGATTACACTTGAATATGATATTTAAAATACTTAAATATATTGATACCGTCAAATTAAAGTAGAGATATTTATGCATTTCAAAGGGTGTTCACGGCTTTGAATATGGCGTTGATACTCGTGTTCTGTGACAGAACGTTAAAAGAGATGTTTATAGATGCACATATAGGTGTGTTTATATTAGCATGTTTTCTCTGCAGCAAATGGCGGACGACGCCGGTGGTAGAGGAGGTTTTCGCGGAGGTTTCGGGGCCGGTGGCCGCGGTCGGGGCCGTGGACGCGGCAGAGGCCGTGGTAGGGGCCGTGGTGCTCGGGGTGGCAAATCCGAGGACAAGGAAGTAGGTTTCATACGATTAAAATCCCTAACTTAACTGTGTCCTACAGAACAACGTGTCTAGTAAGAGTATGCTGTGAGTATGGTTAATGGATGTTCCTTCATCTTTTAGTGGGTTCCCGTCACCAAGCTGGGCCGCCTGGTTAAGGACATGAAGATCAAGTCCCTGGAGGAGATCTATCTGTACTCTCTGCCCATCAAGGTATGCAGTATGGGAGGATGATAGTAATGCTAGGGTCGCCATCTATTATAAATATTTTAAGCCTGACATAACTGTTGCTTGTTTTATGTGGATTTTATGTGGCACCAGTGTTCACAGTAGCGTACATGTGTGTCTAAGGCCCGTCGGAGGAGTTGGGCTCGGCAGCCCTGGTATGGACAAGAGATGAGCTCATACAGACAGCTCACACTGTGGTAGTACTGCTCAGAGAGGGCAAAAGTTTCTCTACAACCACGGATTTCATTCTTACACTGTAGGCCAAAAACAGAGGAATACCAAGTAGTTAAAAAACACACCGACTGGGGCCATTTTTGAAACACATTTTCTTGGAGTTGCATCCATGTCTACTGACTTAAATACCTTAAGGACTTAATGCTGGGAAACGGGTCTCTGTCATGATTTAAAGGAGTCGTATTGATGGATGCATATGAGCTGCATGCAGGCATATCTAATAAGGCTTAGACACTCTTTTAATACTTGCTGTGGACCATATCATGTTCAAATCTGTTTTAATTAATCCTGCAGGAGTCTGAGATCATTGACTTCTTCCTGGGTTCTGGTCTGAAAGACGAGGTGCTGAAGATCATGCCTGTCCAGAAACAGACCAGGGCTGGTCAACGCACCAGGTTTAAGGTGAGGTTTTGTAACTCTGTATAGGTCTCCTGTTGTTTATCCTGGTTATAACCCTGTAATGCTGATGTCTAAGTCTTGACACCTGGTGGGCTTTGTCTTTGTCTACAGGCCTTTGTTGCCATTGGTGACTACAATGGCCACGTGGGTCTGGGGGTGAAATGCTCCAAAGAAGTGGCTACAGCCATCCGTGGGGCCATCATTCTGGCCAAACTCTCCATCGTCCCCGTCAGGCGAGGTTATTGGGGTAACAAGATCGGCAAACCCCACACTGTGCCCTGCAAGGTGACTGGCCGTTGTGGCTCTGTCCTGGTGCGTCTCATCCCTGCACCCCGTGGTACTGGTATCGTGTCCGCCCCTGTGCCCAAGAAGCTGCTAATGATGGCTGGTATTGATGACTGCTACACATCTGCCAGGGGCTGCACGGCCACCCTCGGCAACTTCGGTAAGTTTTTTCTGACAGCTAGGGATGATAATCTGCATAGTGTTTGTGGTTTTCTCCTTGCTCTGCTCAGCTTCGCCTCTGCAGTGGTGTAGTTGTCGTTTATCAGGAGAGAAAGTAACGAGTATCGTAATGCACGGCAGAAAGACTGTTATAGTGGTCTCATCTGTTCCCCGTTTCAGTGCTCAACAGTTTTTCAAGGGTGCTGTACTTTTGTGCTTGAACTCCACACATCTACTTAGTGTGTGTGTTTGTTTTTAATTCCCTCTCCAGCTAAGGCCACCTTTGATGCCATCTCCAAGACTTACAGCTACCTGACTCCTGATCTCTGGAAGGAGACAGTCTTCACAAAGTCTCCCTACCAGGTCCGTTCATAGCACAGACTGATTGGTCCTGATTTTTAACATGCAAGATTCATCTATTAACAAGCTTTTTACTCTTATTCCAGGAGTTCACTGACCATCTAGCCAAGACTCACACCAGGGTGTCTGTGCAGAGGGGACAGGCTGTCCAGGCAGCTACCTCCTGAACTTTTTGTACAGAGAATTGTTGAATAAACATTCTGAAACACCATATAATGTGTAAGCTTATGTTTCATGTGCTGAATTCATGTAAGGTGTGGATTAACAAGAAGCACCTAACAGGATAAAATCCTCAAGTGTAGTCACCTAATTGTAAAAAAAAAAAAAAAAAAAAAAAAAAAAAAAAAAAAAAAAAAAAAAAAAAAAAAAAAAAAAAAAAAAAGTAAATTTATAACAGACATTTGTCTAATCCTGAAATCTTTTATCACAATCTATTATTTCTAGCTGGTGGCTTAAATGTGTAGTTGTTCCAGGGTGAATTAAGATTTAAATTGGGAGGAAAACTTCATCCTCCATAATGTGGTTGTTTGCAAGAGTCATCTAAAAGGAAAGAAAATTGCTCACCGGCTTCCAGTTGCATATGACATTGCCAGTAGGGGACTGATGCATGTACTGCTGTAAACAGTCACTGAGGACAGAGTAGAAAGATAAACTATGTTTATCACAAGTTTTATTGTACAATTATTACACACGAGGGGGTAGAGAACTGTTCTTAAACACTTTGGGCCTGAGCTGCCATCATCCGTTCTTTTTGCTTCATGAGACATTTCCTTGCAGTGGCGTACCCTCCCAGGTCTCCATCTGTAAAACAGTAGGTCAGTGTTGGTTACAATAAATAGGACATTGTTGTCCATGTAACAACTATTTTCAAACATTGGAAAAATACACAATTTCCTAAAACCCTAGTTGCTGTTTTCACATTACTCTACATTAGCTGCAAATTCTCACATTTCAGAAGCTACAACCATTTCCCCATTTTTACTTAAAATGAGTGAAGCAATTAATCCAATAAAAACCAAATAAAATTGTTTCACCTCTAACAAAAACTGTTAGCTTATGTTATTTTAACAATAATGCATGTTTAGTGACTGACAGCTCATAAAAACATCTGCCACATAGCTGAATACTGAAAGAAAGTTGCTTTCAAGTTTCCTTTCTATTGCACCGCTCCAAACAGCACAGTACTTACAGCGAGACATGTAGTTCCTGGTCACCTCGTTGAACTGCTGTATTTCTCTGGCACAGTTCTGCTCGTAGCTGGCTCCCTCTCTCTGTTGACAGGCCCTCATTCGCTCCTGGATCACCTTCACGATCTCCTGGTCCACTTTACTGTGGAGGGAAGACAACAAAACAAGATGATTCTCTTATTCATTCCAGAATTAATAAAGTCACCTTCTGCAGTGACAGAGAGCAACAACATCCCTGAAGCTGATAGAGATGCTGTGTCTCATTCAGAGACACTTCAGCAAAGCTGATGTGTTTAATGAGGGCAATAAGGCTTGACTCACAAGTTTGTGTTGTAACTCATCCCAAATGTGTTGGATGGGGTTTAGGTAGCTTAGGGGTACGGTCACATACAGTAACTTACTAAAATATTAATGTCATTGACATAAAATTATTCTTATTCTGCTGTGAAGTACTGAAAATGTGATCATTCTAAACCATATTGTCCTTACTGGTTCACCATCATACTTTACGCCTGTGGCAGTGAAACAGGTATTGTAGTATGCAGCATTAAAAGAGTCTTAAAGGTCTTAATTTCATTTGAATTCTGAAGTTTGCTGTGTGCAAAGATACTACAACTAGATGTGAACACAAGGCTACATCCACAAGACTGGGCTTTAGGCCCTCATTACTTAAATTTAAATCTAAATTTAATTGCACTAATGTGGATATGTTCTTCACCAGTGACTTACTAGTCTCTCTTCCACTGCATCTCTGCCTCATAGTAGCAGGTATAATCTCCTTCCTGGCACTCCGTCAGGTCAGGAACACGGCGGAACTTCTGGTGGTAGTACACGGACCGGTTTTTCATCCGACAGCTCTCCACAACATCTTAACGAGGGGAGGAAACAGTCCAGAGCGTAGTTAACCATTAAACCCAGCCAAAGCTATGATATGTCTATGAATGACACTAGCTAGCATAGCATCTCGCTACAAGTGTTTACATAGGTCTAAGGATTATTGCGACAAACCAGAGCACTGTAATTGATTTAGTGTAATATTTTGCAAAGCAGCAGGTTTAAGTTAATTATTAAAAAGCCTAAATACATGTACGCTTTGTCAGCATAATGCCCTTTCCTTATGATAGTTGTGTTATCCAGTTAGCGTTAGCTCAGTTAGCTTCAGTTACCTCTAAATTTGGTGACAGGCACGTCCACGGAGTAATACAAGATTTTGGACATAATTAGTCCTGGGTCTGGCAGTGATGACTGTCTCTCCATAACCGGAGTCTGTCGAGGAGGCTCCGGATAAGCGTCTTTATCAAAGTCTTTAGGCATTTTGCTTTGTTTTAATCAAGACTAGAAAAATCCTACAATTCGACCTCGACAGTGCTTCTGTAGAGGTTGCGCATGCGCACAAGACACGATATATGGCGAACCATAAGGTCAACTAATCAGAATCAGAATCTGCTTTATTGGCCAGGTTTGTGGGACACGCGAGGAATTTGACTGTGGTACATCGGCTCTCAATGTGTATATACATATCCCCATGCAAGGCGCAAGTCACAGTAGACCAGCATAAGGCTGCGTAATATAACAAAATAAGCAGTATTAACAAGCAACAAACAGTGCAAACAATGCAAAATAAGCTGTATAACGTGCATAGGTCCCTGGGGAGTCGAGGTGTTGCAGGATGTAATGCAGTGCCATGTTCACTGCATCGTCCACTGACCTGTTTGCCTGGTAGGCGAACTGCAGGGGGTCTAGCAGGGGGTCTACGGTGTCCTTCAGGTGGGCCAGCACCAATCTTTCAAAGCACTTCATAACTACAGATGTCAGGGCAACAGGTCTGTAGTCATTCAGTCCACTGATGGAGGGTTTCTTGGGGACTGGGATGATGGTGGAGCGTTTGAAGCAGGAGGGGACTTCACACAGTGAATGTATGTGAAGTCTTATTTTTGTATTCTAAAGTTAAGCTGGTGTATGATTTCTATGCTCAACGGGGAATTTGGCATTAGCCCAATATCTGTGTGTGTGTGCATTTTTAATATGAAGGTCCCAGCCAGATTGCAGCCTAAAGGTTTCATGTGAAGCTGTTGTACCATTTTGAGGCAGTAGATGATGGTGCAGAGCTGACAACCTGTTACCACTGTTATCAATAGATTATTCAATGGGCATCTGCTCGAAGTGACAGTTAACACTTACATTTTGAAATGTTGTCAGACATAGCAAAATAATGACACAATGGAACTACAACAAGATGCAAAACAACTAAAAAGAAACAAAATGATCACAAAGATACACAACCAACATAAAGAGATTCACAACATCAAAGTGACACAAAAAGAAGTACAATGAGATACAAAATGTCTATAAAGACATGCAAAATTACTACAAACAAACACAAAATGATTACAGAAACACAAAACCACTAAACCTCTGCAAAGAGCTGCCAAAGGGCCCGACTACGAACAACGTTTTGTATCTCTTTCATTCTTCATTCAGTCTAACCTTAGCCTTTACCCTAACCTTTACCAAAGCCAACACTTGCTCTACCTCACACCCCTTCATTTTCATAAAATTCAAAGAATTAGTGGTGGGCCCCAGCCTCCGGTCCCCACAGGTAACTTCAAAGTAGCGTGCTCCCAACGTTCCATCCCCACAAGTATATATAAACAAGGCCACACACACCAGTGAAGAATGATTTTTAAGTCATATTTGAAGACCTATTTGTATTCATTGGCGTTTGGACAGGACTGAGACTCTTTTTACCTTGATTAGACCCAAATGTATGTTTTATTTTTTTTATTTTTATGTTGTTACGATTTTAGATTTGTATTGTACAGTATGTTATGCGCTTTGGTCAGCCGTGACTGTGGTAAAGCGCTATATAAATAAAGTTGAGTTGAGTTGAGTTGAGCAACATGAGGAAGCCCTACCCCAGGTTCCCTACCACTAGCTTTAATATTATTGCTATCTCAAAGAAGAGATAGAGATAGAATGTATCGGTTCTGGACCACATCAGGTGATTGTTGGCCACATGACCATGAAAACTTCCTTTCTCTCTCCTTTCTTGGTTATATGCTTCCTGTCCACTGGCCTCCCCTCCACCTCAGACCCCTGACTTTACCATCTTCGCTCCTCCTAGCTTCTCTGGTCAGAACTTGGCAGCAATTACTTTGTTTGAAAGCGAATATGACTCCTCAACTGGGTCAAACACCAAATTAGAGCTCTTACACTGTGTATCATCTTATGTATGAGCCTTACATCAGCACTGGTTCCTCTCTCTTTCTATCTCTCATCGGACAGTGTGCGGACATGGTCAGTGCTCCATGTTTTTCATTGGTCCTTTACTACTACAAAGGATTCAGTGGTGTGTTTTTTTTTTTGTCTTTTACATGTCAGCATGGTTGTGTGATTTCTGTGTGTGTTTGGCAACCTAATAAGGATAAATGAAGTATTTTGAAGAGTTAACTTGTAATGGCTGCCATGAGTCAAATACTGAAATAATGACTTAAAAAAAAAATACATATGCCCATCGTATGAGCTGTCTTTTATTAGCTCGTCTGGATTTCTGAGTCACATTACACTAAACGTGACTCAGAAGTCGTTGCAGAAAGTACAGACACATGGGCTGAACTGGAAGACAACAGGCCCGGAGATTATGAGATTTGAATGGATGATATCACTTTGATGCCCTGTTTTATATTATTCCTACTTTTGATATTATTATATAACTACTTTCTGCTGCTTTACCACTTGGTAGCAGAGGTTTTTATCGTGCTGAAGAATTTTTGGAAATGAGGTCAAAAACAGCTCAAAACAGAACAAAGAACAACAAGTGCACTGAGTATAGACTCATTTGTTTCTTCTAGATTTACCGTGGTAGTGAAATCCATCAATACATTTTTCTACATTGCCACATATCACATCACTATGTCTGCCAGCATTAAAATGTCCACATGTCAAAACCATACAACCTGATATTTCAGTTTGTCTTATATACCAGTGGTGTGTTCATGTCATAATGTGTGTGTTAGCTCCGCTGTATGTCACCAGACAAATTGTCAGGATATTAATGTTAGAAACACTGTACCGGTATGTTTAAATTCTTGAGTTATGTGTTTTATGTTACTAACTACTGATCACGTGCTGGTTTTGTCTTTTTTTAGTCTCATCGCAAATTCCATGCGCCCCGACATGGACACATGGGGTTTCTGCCCCACAAACGAAGCAAGAAGCACAGGGGGAGGGTGCGCACATGGCCCAAAGATGACCCCAGTCAACCTGTCCACCTCACCGCCTTCCTGGGATACAAGGCTGGCATGACCCACACCCTCAGGGAGATGCACCGCGTAGGCCTCAGTATGTACAGCTGGAACTGAAGATAAACATAAACCTTTGAGTGATTCATGCTGTTTGGAAGGTGGTAGTTATTACTGGGTAATTCATTTTTAAACAGCATAGAAAAATGAATGGAAGGGGCCTTAGAAGGTCAGGTGTTAGAATGTATCCTGTTTAATGTTTACCTCCTGGAAGAACTAGTATGAGATGTTATAACACTATTACATTGTTACTGGGTGTTCAGAACGGAGTGTTTTAGTAGCTCAATCATGTAAGTCTCATATACTGTACTGTAATTTTTAATATGGTTTGGAAACGTGCATATTTGCTGTTAAAATGCGTTGCTTGATTTAGCGTTACTGGATACTGACAGTTAAAGTTTCTCAGCAGAAGGATATTTTCCATGTTTCTCCCTCAGAGCAGTCAAAACGAGAGGAGGTAGAGGCTGTCACCATCATTGAAACACCCCCTGTCATTGTAGTGGGAGTTGTGGGATACATTCAAACAGTCCGTGGGTTACGTTCCCTAAAAACCATCTTTGCTGAGCATCTCAGTGATGAGTGCAAACGCAGATTCTACAAAAACTGGTATGTCTGATTATACATCGCTCCTCTGCATGTACAGCCAAGTGACCACACACTTAGTATCCCTGTTACAATGTCACGTTAGTAAATAGAATTTTTTTTATGTTTCAGGTACAAGAGCAAGAAGAAGGCTTTCACCAAGTACAGTAAGAAGTGGCAGGATGAGACAGGAAAGAAACAGCTGGACAAGGATTTTGCTCAGATGAAGAAATTCTGTTCGGTCATCAGGGTAATTGTTCACTCCCAGGTATGCCTGTGTTTCTTAACACAATGTTCAGTGACTTACTTGATAAACTGCTGTCCTTTATGCTGCTAAACCACCACAAAGCACAGTCCAGCTTTTTGAAATATAACAATTTTGGTCTCATATCACATCAGTCAGATTTCATTGACTAGTCTGAAATGACAACTATTCACTACATCCCCTTCTCTTAATGTCTCCCTTGCAAAAGAGCAGAGGAGTCTGAATTATTCACCTGACCACATGTAAAAGAAAGAAAAGATGCCACATCCTAAAACCTCTTGGCTGACAAGAGCCAAACAACTCTGACCACGACGCACTGGCGGGTGCGGTTTCAAATAGCAGTTTAAAAATAATTTTCAGAGCAGAGCTCGGCTGCTCACTCAGGATATGTCAAGGGAAAACCTGTATCGTGGTAGCAAAGAATATAAAGATTCACACTACTAAGATCAATCTTAGTCTGTACTTCCTTTGACTTAAGCTGTGAAGATATAATTAAAATGTGCTTTCCAATGTTAAGGTTGTGGAAATTACCATTTGTTATTACTGACAGCTCAAGAATAATCGCATGCTGAATAATAGAAGACAGGGTTCGGGATGTTTTGTAAACATGCTAAGTTCAAATCAAGATTTTTATTTTATTTTATTTTTTTTTTGTTATTCAGAAAAGTTTAGATTTTTGGACTCCTTTCGGTTGCAGTTTATGAGCTTCCCAGGTTTTTGTTTTCTGTTTTCAGATGCGATTGCTGCCCATTAAGCAGAAGAAAGCCCACATCATGGAGGTGCAGCTAAATGGGGGTAGTGTCTCAGACAAGGTGGACTGGGCAAAGGAACGCCTGGAGAAGGCTGTGCCCGTCTCTGCCGTCTTCTCCCAGGATGAGATGATTGATGTCATTGGTGTCACCAGGGGTCGTGGCTTCAAAGGTAGGAAACATGCTGCTAATTGTAGACATTAGACATTCAAGACTTACATAAATGTACTCAGAGTCATTTCTTTCTCTTTGGGCTGATAGGTGTGACGAGCCGCTGGCACACAAAGAAGCTCCCCAGAAAGACTCACAAGGGACTGAGGAAGGTGGCCTGTATTGGAGCTTGGCATCCGGCCCGTGTGGACTTCACTATAGCACGAGCTGGTCAGAAAGGCTATCACCACCGTACTGAGCTCAACAAGAAGGTTAGCTAATTGTTGAAGGTTCAGCTTCACCTACAAAACCACAAATGGGTTTTTATTGATAAATCATAAGGAAGTTAACATAGGTACATGTAGACAGGTACTGTATATCATAAGGTCCAGTGTGTCCATACTGGAGTTTCTCATTTCCCTATTTGTGTCCTCAGATCTATCGTATTGGTAGGGGTGTTCACATCCAGGATGGAAAGGTGGTCCGGAACAATGCCTCCACCAGTTATGACATCAGCCAGAAGACCATCACCCCCATGGTAGAATGGAACACATTAATTTGATCTAAATTCTGCTAGTGCTGTGCCTATAATGTGCTAATAAAAAATGACACATTTCTTCCATAACAGTCCTCGTTTACAGTTCCTTCACTTGTTATCTTTACTTCCATGCTGTCTCTGTATTGTCCCTGTAGGGAGGCTTCCCCCACTATGGTGAAGTGAATAATGACTTCATCATGCTGAAAGGCTGCGTGGTTGGGACTACGAAACGCGTCCTCACCCTGAGAAAGGTACAGTGTGATTATGAAAGCCTAAATTTAATTTCTGTTGGATTCTGAGTCTGTAAGTTGAACACAACATCCCAAATTAAAAAAGTAAGCTCCTTGTGCACTGCTGCAGGATAGGTATAGTAAGTGAACATCTTTGTTTCCCCTCCCAGTCATTGCTCGTGCACACATCTCGCAAGTCTAGGGAAGCCATTGAGCTCAAGTTCATTGACACCAGTTCCAAATTTGGTCATGGTCATTTCCAGACTGTCCAGGAGAAGAGGGCATTTATGGTGAGTGTGAGAAAAGTTTGGTGTATGCTCAAATCTGAACATTAGAAAGTGATGAAGAATAGTTTGTGCATTTGACTGAGTAAAGTGATCATGCACTATTTTAACCTTTGACCTCTGGTTCACCTGCAGGGGCCAGTGAAGAAGGATGCCCAGAAGACACTTTCAGAACCTCAGCAAGAGGCCTGAAAATATGTATTATATTTATCCACTATAATAAAGCTGACTTATAAGTACACTGTGCTGTACATTAGCTGTGGTGATATATAAATGCAGCAGATGCATGTTTGTGCTTTAACTGCATCATCTACCTATTTGTTTGCAGTTTAATTTCAACAGATGATGCAGATGTTTTGAACAGGTTTTTATTATTCACGGATAAATCCATGAGCGTATTAACACTGCTCAGAAATAACATGCACTGTGGTGGCTTCAGTCATCCATCTGCTTGAGCATTAAAAAACAAATTCAACTATGGAAATCCAGTGTCTTACAGTATGTGCTCTCACCGGTGTCAGGGTGTTGGGTAGAGTTCAGCTTTCTTCCCAAAAGGGGGCACTGTAGCACCATTCCCAGAGGCTTGAAGTTACCGCCATATTCAAGTGCCTTCAGGAGGCATCTACTTTATACTGCCCTGGTCACATCGAACCCAAACGGCCACAGAATCCATTAGCTGCACAATTCGCCATGTTTGCAACAAGAGTATCCCATGTGTGGGCTCAAAGGGGTCCCTACTCTGACACCTACTCCTGGGACTCAGTGGAAGACTGTTGGGATGTGGATTGGATTGAAGAGTGGTGGGATGCAGCTGGGGTTTCCAGGCCAGATGTCATCAGGGGCAGATATAGATCGTCCATATTGGGCATGACAAAAACTTTCTGTTGAGCAGCAAAAAACAACAAAGTCATGTTTAATAATCAGTCCAGTGATTAAAGTTGGGAAATTGTCTGCTGTATTTCACTACAGATTCAAACAAATTCACAGATGAACTGACCTGGAACTCCCACTGTAGTTTTTTCTCTATCCATTCAGTGACATGAGTGAAGGTGACTTCCCTCTCCCCGAGCATGGGACGCACATGAAGGTCTAACCTGGGAGGCACCCGGAAACTGTACCTGAAAGGATAGAACAAGAAAAAAAAAGAGATAAAGACTGCATGAGAAACAAAGAAATAAATGATCTCACAACACTGCACTTTGAATCTCTGGTAGGAAATGACAAAGGGACCAAAGAATTTCAGTACCATATCCTGTCAGCAGGAGGAGGTGGGACATTGATGGCCAGAGTACCAGAGAGCTCCAGGACCTCTACGCTGAGCAACAAAGGCACGTTGGACACCTCAGCTATTTTCTTCCTGATGTACTCATTTTCTGTGGCTTTCTGGAAGTACTTGGACTTTGCTATCTTGTCCACAAGTCTCAGGATTTTCCTACTTGTCCTGCAACCTGTGTGTCTGGGGAAAAATAGAGGCAATAGTACAAAATGAACTCTCTGAATTAGAGCAAATTCACTGCAGTACTAGTTGGCATGTTTTACATACCCAGTACCTACTAGTCCAATAATATTTTTTATTTCTACAAAAACATAAAAGGTACCTTTTCAACATTTTACACATCTGCTGTTACACGACTAAATAGTATCCAAACAGAAGTCAAAATGTTTAAAGTGCAATTCTGTGCCCTATTGGCATAGAAAATGCCAATAAGTTGCTAATTTACCCATCAGCTGCTGCCACTGTGCTCTTATCGCTCCAAGATCCCTGTGGCTCAGATGGAGGGACTTCCTCCTCGTCAGATGAGCCTGCACTGGATGACTCTTCATCACTATCAGCCAGTATACACATCCTGGGCGTAGAACTAAAAAAAAACAAAACACACCAGTGGTACCTCTGAATGCAAAGTACAACTCTTAGAAAATAAATTTCTTCTAATACACACACGCATGTTCACATTTGTGTGTCTACAGAGGAACTTGAGACTGAGACAGGCCTCACCCTACTTGTTTGGACTCTGGAATATTGTGAGCCAGGTCCTCTCCCTCTTTACCCAGCTTACACAGGTTCATCTTAGTCTCCAGGGTCATTTGAAGGCAGCCTGTGTACATCAGCTCCAGCTCCAGCCACAGGCCTTAGAGATATAGGGAGAGACAGAGAAAAGCTAACAGGTAGCATTTAAGGGTTCAGATTTTAGCATTAGGAGCAGCAGGTTGATCTCAAGTTTGGTTTGGAGGCCAAGCCAACCTCTCTTGAGCCTGGCTGGCACAGAGGATGTTATTGTCAAGGCATGTTATTGTTGGTGGAGCTTAGTAAAGGCTAAGAGGATTGCTAATGCCTTCATAGCTTGAGCTGACTGTGGGAATGTGACTGAGATCTGTGCAGAGGCTGTTTGGTAAACCTTACTAAATAACTCCTTCACATCTGTAATGGTACAAAAATGAAAATGATTATCAAAGAGCAAAGCAAAGAGTACAAGTGTATGCATGCAAAATCATGACACATATACACATACAGTACTTTACCTCTACGGTCCAGGGTAGGTTTGGAGGTGCTGAGGACCTGGGGTAGGCAGGTGCCCATGTCCAGCTCAGCCAGAGTCAGCTCATTCATGAAGTACGGCAACTATAATGAGACAAACAACACCTGGTGAAAATGCTGCATTCATGTCATACTTATAGCCTTCCAGTTTAAATTTGGGTTAAACAAACACATAGCTAATGACCCCTATAAAGTGTCCAAGCAATGAAAGCCTCCAAAGAGCATGTTTGTGTGTATTTGTGTGTGAGGGAGAGTAAAACGGACTGTGCATGTCAAAAAGGAGAGGAAGAAATGTGTAATGGCATGTCGCAGTGCCTCCAGTGCTCCCACCTCATTAGTCATTATGACATTGTTGATGTGTTGATGATGTGTGAATGTGAAAAGCACAACAAAGAGCATTAGTTAAACTAATCAACCAAGAACTCACTTTCTGACTAACCTCAAAAATAAATTACCATCCTCGTCTCCCCTCACCTTGATCTTACTGAGTTTCTTCTGGATCTTGTGTGCCACCTGATCGGTCCAGTACTTCTCCCGGAGAAAGTCCCAGAAGATCCTCCCCACTAGGGAGTTCACCCAGGTGGGCTGACTGTCTGCAGAACACCCTGCTGCCCCACTACCTGCACTGGACTCAGCTCCAACTTGACTCACAGATCCATGCTCTTCATTGTGACTCTGCAAACAAATTCAGAGAAATAAGTCACTGGAAGGCATAAATGTTGGCTCAAGCATTATTTTTGAGGTCATATGACCTGAGATGCTAGATATACATTTTTGACATTTCTACACCAAGCCCAATTTTCAGTGACTCTCATGCTGATCTTCATCTATTTCATTCAGCGAGGCTGTCTCTAAATCCCAATCACAAACCACCCAAGCTAATATGCGTAGTGTTAGCGGTAGACAGTTGAAAGTTTACATCAGCTTACAACCTCTGATGTGGTGATGCTAAACACGAATATAGATTTAAAAGCTAAATAAAAATGTTGCTTACTGACCTTCTTGTGGGTCATGGGGCTTTCCTTGTCACTGTGACAGGGGCTGGGGGTGGGGTTGCAACTCTCTGAGCCAATTAATTGAATCATGTAGGTGCTGTAGTCCAGTGGTGTTCTCACTTTCATAGCTACTGGCAAATCAGTCGCCTCCTCTGTGTTTTCTTTAACAGCATCTCCACCAGATAATGTTTCTGAGTGACAGAGAAAAGACAGACATGTCATACTTTCAGTTTACTCTCTTTATACATTGTTTCCATCAACTTAATTGTCCCAGATCACCATGACCAATGACATGTTGATACCTGTGGTCTCCTCACTGCTCACACTGCTCTTGGCTGCAGCCCTGGAAACAGACAGGAAGTGCTGGAACCATTCCTCCTTCTCTCTTCCTGTGCGGCCAAACAGGTAGAGCGTGACAGGAAGCTGGGGGTCCAACACAGTGTATTTCTCTGCCGTTTCTTCCTCCTCCTGCCCTTCAGCCAGATTCTCTTCCACTATCTCCTCCTCTGCCAGAATAATGCAGATGGGGTACTTTTTGTTCCACATCCTTTTATGGGCCAAACCAGAAGGCAACAGAGACACCTGGGATTAAAATGAACAGGAAGGAGTGATAGGCCAAAATATCACTTTCTTTTTATGTGTATTTTCTTTCTCTAAGAGATGCCAGCAGGCAGAAATAGTGTAGTCAGGTCACTATTGCCAAAGCACTCCCCACATTTATTAGAGAGTGCGTTAGTTTTATTCTATCACTCCACTGGAAGCTACTGTAACCTGCCTCAGTATACAACTGAAATAGTGTAAAGGTCAAGTTTATTCAGAGCATCATCACTTCAGTCGTAATCCCTCTGGTCTTTCACCTCTGTGTCGATGACATAGTGGGTGTAGAGAGGAGAGAGTGAAGAGTTCAAGCATGAGGTCATCTTGCCTTCCTCTCTCCCTCTGAGGGACTTGCCTGCTCTAGCAGAAAGAAAGACAAACTAACCTTACAATTAGCCAGCTGGTAAGTGCGTGAATGCAAAAACACAGCCTCGTGTTGTGTCTCGTTGAATGTTGGCCAGCGGGAAATGTTGGCACGTGGGTATGCCAGGCGCAGTCTGCTGCCCTCCAGTGTGACATAGACAGTGTGTGTGATGGAAGGGTGGAAAGTCTCAGGGTTGTAGCTGTGTGTTTGATTCATCCAGCCCTGGGAGAAAATTATAAACAGAATTGAATTATGCTGAATGCAGTGCGGTGGCTGTTATGTATGTGCAATTAATTCAATGAGACTTAATATTGTTCAGAACATACTTCAACCTGACAAAGTCTCTCCTCAGCCAAATGAAATTCACAGAGTGGTGCAAACTGTGAGGGGAAACATGAGCTATGGCAAAATACATCTGTCTCATTTAACACTGTGGAATAGAAATAGCCTACAGCCATGCTACTAACTCTATCATCATAAACTTTACCTTATTTGAACTTGGTAACTGTGCATTTACTAAGGCAGCCAGCATCACTCCCTCGTCAAACCTGTTATCAAAATAACTCTCTCTTTAGATGCTGAAGCTACTGTACCAGAGGGTAGTTTTTAAATACAGTAATTACCTTAAAACTAATCCATTCAGCAGTGCTGACAGCACTATTTATCTTTAGTGCTATCCAGCAGCTCAACTGGCTGTTGTCGTTTGTTAGAAATCAAACTCTAACCCTGCAGAACAACCAGCCCATTTCCATGTAGTCAAATTGGTCTCAGGAAAACACAAAATAGTCGCTGTAGGAGCAGCTGCAGACATTTCTCGGCATATTAAAGAAGAGTCTACACCCATGCCACTGGCTCTGTGAAGCTGTACACAGCAGTGCTTTGAGCTGAATGGTCCAATAGAATCGCCAGGTCACCGAATACCCAGGGATGTGACCAGGGATCACTTAAGTTATTACAACTCCTTCTGCAGAAAACCATAAATGCATGTAACAAATTCCATGGGAATCCATCCAATAGTTGTTAAGATAGGTATATCAAAACCCAGCATGTCCATATGTAGGTATTGTAGGTCCTTTTTGACAATTAAAATGTTTTTTTAAGGAGAACAAAAACTTAACACAATCACACATTCAGCCCATTGGTGTTTTTTCAGATCAGCACCTCCTGCTACACTTGTGTTACACTGAAACAGGGAGGAGGTTTGGATGAGAGTCAAGAGGGAGGCAGGTGAAATGTCATCATGTCATTTTCATGTTTACATCTCTGTTTATATACAGTATGTTACTCATTTCTTACCTCTAGGACATCTGAATCTGTGAGTTTTTCATTCAGCTGATCCATGTTCAGGCCT